AAAAGTGACAAAAGATCGGCAATCCAAAACAAAACACTAGCCCTATCAGGAGAAGCGGCTAAGGAGTGAAGAGGAGTTTCGGGAGTGAGGGAAGAGGAACGACGGAGCCATTCGAGGACAGGGGCTCTGGCTGTGTCCAAGTCACAGGGGCGCAGCAGGGAAAGCGTTTGACGTTTGGAAAAGTTAGAAGCGCACGGCCCTCCCCACTTGATCCTTCTCCCCCCCCTACACCTTGTGCCGCTGCTTATCGTGGTGTTGTTGAGATTCGTATTTTTTTATTGTTTAAAGGGAGATTGGCCGCCAAAAAAGAACGAAGGGGTCGAGTTAGTTTTCTCAGAAATGTCTCTTTCTCCAGGGGAAAGCGACAGAGTGCGTGCAAAATAGAGTAACATGCAGGTGTAGCCCCCGTTGGCAGCGTTTTCAGGTTGAAAAGGAGCATATATTGAATCCCAAGGAGTTCTGCAAAACTCTGCAGGCGGCAAACAATTTACATTTATTTATCTTTTTCCTTGTCAGTCTGGTTACTCGGAAGTCCTTGATGAAAAGAAGCATTAAATCATATTGGGATGCTTTGAAACTGACTGTTAAGCAAGTCGAGGTACGCATCTGTGTTAAAACAATTATATTTTTGATAAGTGAAAATACTTGGAGAAGAACATTATAGTTGAGTTTTGGTAATACTGTAACTATCAGAAAGAAAACTTCCTTTTATATTCCTTAAGTGTGCTTCATACATGAATCAACATGACCTACTTGAGAATAATTCAAATAAAACAAACTTAAGTGTTTCTTCCTTTCTAAAGCTATTCCAAATGGCGATTGTTGCATAGAAATTTTCAATTTGTCAATAAGGCTTGTGAATTATTAATTACATATGTCATTTAAAAAAGATTCCTTCAACTCTCATAAGATACTGGACAACTCTCATAAGATACTGGACAAAAAATTTTGGAGATATTCCATGAAAGAATGGGGATTGTAGGCTAGGAGGAAATGATCTCTTACCACTTAATAAATATATGTTCATGTTTTATGTGAAGACAAACCAGGAATGTATTTTTCAAAATAGGAAGTTAGGAAAAAATAAATTCATAAAAATGAAATGGAGAATTGTGATGTGAAAAACACATGATATTGTTTTAGAAAACTTAATAATAGTGATCCTATAAATGTATATTAAGAAGTTTCTAATTCAGAAAATATAGCAGTGAAGCATCAAAGGTAGATTAAATTTCATCATCAGACAAATACGGCTGTAAAAATATGAACTCAGATCAGTAAAGTTAGTTATAGAAGATTTTATTTTGAAATGTGATAAAATACAGACACTTTAAATGTATTCAACAGTAAAACACAAGAATAATCAGAATTTACATATTCAGCAATATTTTGGTAAACAAAAATATTGAAAAGGAATACAAGGTGCAGTCCTATACAAACTACGATGTAGTAAATCCCACAGAACTCAGTGGAACTTCCTTCTCAATAGCCATGGATAAAATAGCACTCACAGTATGAAAGAGAGCTATCCAAGGTACAGAAAGAAAATAATACTGTAACAATCCAAAATGTGATTTGTTCAAAGGGTGAAAAAAGTAACAATATAAAAGATACAAATTCATGACTGGATTAGGCTGTGGTGAGATAAACTCTCACTTTGACTCAAAGGCATCTCTTTGCTGTACACACTTCATGGTTCTTTACCAGAAATAATTTACTCCTGAGTAGACACCAAAAAGAGGCATCATGTGCTAAAGAGTGTTCTGCCTTTGTATGCTGAATATTGGTGGTCTATTAAACTTAAAGTGCACCGATTTCTTCAAATTAACAGTAATAAGCACAGCTATATAATTATAGTTATCTTATTCCATTTTTTTTTTCTCAGTGATGTTTTAGAGCAGTTTTCCTCTTGGATGTCTTTTGCTCATTTTACAGCAACAATTATAACCACTGTACATATGGTGTTAATTAAATGTTCTTGCAATTGCTTAGATGTGTATCTTATGGCAGTTTTCCTTCATTAATTAAAGTAGATATTTTTGAATAATTCAGCAAAAGGTGAGCTGCAAGACATTTCTGTCCATGCTATACAAATGCTGGCATCAGCAAAAATTAATTTTCAGCAGGTTTGTTTCTTATTTGCCCTGATTAAAATCTTCCCTTCTTATTCTTCATTGATACATCTCGAAAAAATTGTTCACTTTAAAATTGGTTTAAAAATACAATTTGGCACACTTTCTAATAGCAGGAGTCATCCCAAGACACTCGTATTCACAACAAAAAATAAAAACACCATGGATGATGGCCACAGTTCTCCACAGATAAAAACAGATAAGCCTATTGAATTCAAGTGGACTTCACTGGAAAGTGCAGCTTGTAGTCATTGTAACATTGTCGCAGAAAGTTTCTTTTTGTGGAAAAGTCAGTATTTCAACAAGGTTCTCAGAAAACTCCTCTGGTCACATAGTCCTCTGTGTCTGCATGTATACTGTGTCCTATGTATACTTCCTTTACAATTACATCCCACTAACACAAGATTGTGCTCTACTTCTGAGTAAACATACTCAAGATCGTGCTCTACATACATTATGACTTGAGAGATTTTGGTTTCAACAACAGCAATTGAGTTATGTTGCTAACAAACACTGTATTGGAAAGGTAAGTGTATTGCCACTGAAAATAAATAAAAGAAAATAATTCTCTGATCTTTGAGACAGTAGATTTTCAAATATATTTTAAAGCATCCGACTGTAGGGTTTTCCACATTATTTTATAGTACACTCCGACATCACATCAAGAAATCTCACAGACAACATTTGCATCATTTAATATTATAGTGCATACCTTGGAAAACAAATGATTTGACAAACTGTTTTGAAAGCTGAAAATACACGCCTTGGCAACTGGGTGAACGGTGTCACATGCAACTTCCAACCATAATAGAAGTTCATTACAGTGATGGCAATGTACAGATATTTCAGGGTTCTTCAGCAACCGTGCTTTTACATCCATGTGAATTGCTATCATCACTACTCTGTCCAGGCCCCGAGGATGAACTGCAGGGAAAGGGGGAGGGGGGAGAGAGACAGAGAAAGAGAGAGGAAATTGGTTTTCACAACACACTCAAAGCCTGAGTAACAGAGGAGAACTTTAATTATCCCCAGTCACAAAAGAGAGACAGGAAATTTGGACTTCTAATTAGCCATTTGGAGTGCAGTTGGATATTTTTTTAGCGAGATAATTTAAACGCGAATAATTCAAGTCTGACTAAATGAAATTCACATAATCAGAATGCAGATAATTGAATTTCTACTGCATTCATTAATTCAGTGTGGAGGTGTATGTGAAGACTTCTATGATGAGCTGTCACAGCTCAATAAAATCTCAGTCAATTAATTTTTTCATTATCTTAGTATTGAATCAACAACAACAAAAAAGTGAAGTGTGTTTATGATCATGTGTGCATTTTTAGTAGAATATAAGGAAATAACCTCTCAGAATCTGAATCTGCATGATTTTCCTCTTCTTTCCTTTCTTCATGTTCTATAGGAAACCGTCGCTTCAAACAGGCAAACTCATGAATGGCTTCAGCAACTGAGTATTTTGTCTGTCCAGATACACAAGCCTCAATTTCTTCAGGGCTTAGCTGGGTTTGTACGAAGAGGTGAAGTCTGCTGTCCGAAAGCAAGAGCGGGTTCTGGAGAATCCTTAAATATATAAATACATATCCAAAAGTTTCAACTGACTTCCAATATCATTGGCATCATTATGTCTTGCTCTTATTTTAAACTTGCACTCAATGTAACTTTGAAGGCAATATAAATACTAATGCAATTGAGCATGTGCTGCCTTTATTAAATTATTTGGAATTTTAGGTGAGTAAAAACATGAAGCTAATAGTTATGAACATATGGTATAAAAATAATTCCAAGGACAGTTTTCCATTTAACCATCTGTTACCACCATGTGGATCAATTATTTTTTTGGCTGAGCTAAAAGGTAGGGAGGGGGGGAGTACCTTTCATTAAAGGAACTGATTCACTACCAGTAACTTTGTGTACATTATTATTAGTATGGAATTACTACTATATCAAGGTAAGAGCCAGTATAGATATTGGGACAGTAAAATACTAGTTATAGAACATAAATCCTTTACTGTGTAAATATATGTACTATTGCAGATATGTATTGGCTCAATGTTACATACAAGTATTTGAAATTTACACTAGCTATTTGAAAAAATGGGAGGGACATTTTTAAAAAATAATAATTTAAATTGCACTGTGTAATTTTAAAATAAAATTGTTCCACCCATAATATTTAGTGCAGTCTGGTGTGCAGTTAGCATTAATTACATTGCATTTTAAAAATACAGCAGAACCATCTTAATTGCACAACACTATGCAGTCTAGCCATGTTTTTTTGTAGAATGTTAGTATTTATGTTGGTTTATTATTCAGAAATTGCAGAATCGGACCCTGGAAATATTGCTTCATATGACAAAATAGCTTAGATACAAATTAATTGATGACTGGTGATTTGAGTTACTTAATAATATTTAATGCTTAACCTTCTCTTAATCACAGTTCTGCGTTTGCCAAAGTAAACCAGGACGACATAAAATATAGCAAGGTTATATTAATAATCTTCTGCAAGAGAAGTCATTAATGACCCCTATCCCTACCTTTTCTTCCCAAGAGCTAATATAAAAACAAAGGTTATGAGGTCATCAAAAAATCTATTAGATCAACAAATAGAATTAACATTGGAAATATCTGATTCAAACCTTTTCCCTAACCTGGTGTCTTCCAGGTCTGCTAGATTACAACTTTCATTATCTCCACCATCACGTGCAAGTAAATTGGGGGTTATAGTGGGTATAGGTCTAACCTATACCCACTAAAGAAGGCTCCCATACCTTACTAACCCACCCCACATACTGCCTACATGTACCAAACTAGTTTCTAAAACAATATGATTGTTTTTTTTTTAAAGTCTAAAATGTGGTTCCTAAGTTAAATGCTAAGCCAAATTATATTTATTTTCAAGGATAACCACAAAATACACATACAGTACTGTGGTGCCCCGCTTAACGCTTACCCTGCTTGACGACGAATCCACTTCATGATGAAGTTTTTGCGATCGCAAAACGATGTTTGAATGGGGTTTTTTCACTTTGCGATGATCGGTTCCCTGCTTCGGGAACCAATCCTTCGCAGTACAACCATCAAAAACAGCTGATCGTTGGGTTTCAAAATGGTGGCCAGGTGTACAAAATGGCTCCCCGCTGTGTTTAGGAAGGCTTTTTCGCAAGATAGGGAGCAGAAAATGGCCGCCCTATGGAGGATCTTCCCTGGACTGTGAGTTATTGAGCCCACTGGAACACATTGACTGGGTTTTCAATGCATTTCAATGGGATTTTTTTATTTCGCTTGACGAGGGTATTGCTTAACAGCAATTTTGCTGGAACGAATTATCCTCGTCAAGCGAGGCACCACTGTACACTATTATTCAAGGGCATGCATACAAATAAATCAGCACAGATTCTGTGGGAACCCCTTATGTCCAAGACCTCCAGTTGACTGGCTCATTGTCTTTGCCATTAAAGACACTGCCTTTCACAATGTACATTTGTAAAGTCCAGGTGTGGATAGACTATTATTATGGGAATCCAGTTTTCTAATCAGGAAACAATTATTTTATACCTTTAACTATTCGAACAAAACCAGAAGCATCTTATGGTAAGTTCTATAGAATTAACCTTTCTGAAAAACTGCAGAGGGCCTTTCTTACTATCAAAACATCTAACATCTAAGTTCACACAGACTGCTGTTACAGACACCTTCCTAAAGGGGAAAAAAGCATGTTAACAAACAGAACATGGTTTAGAATACAAACATTACCTGGTGTTTTTTTTAAAGCCTAACTAGTATTAATGTTATGTGCAATCAATTATGACTTACAACAACCCCTTCTACAGTTTTCTAGCCATAGAGTAATCACAAATGCTTTACTAGTCCTTTATTCTAGGGGTGCTCTGGGACTTTGTAGCTTGCCCAAGCCTATACATGCTGGCTGGCTCCTCTTCCAAGAGGCATGGGAAGGAATTTAACTCCCAGTCTCTGTCCAATGCACTAAGCTGAGTGCTCAATGCACTGGGCTATTCTCTACATGCTAATTTTGTTGAAATGTTCTGTAAGAACACATATATCAGTATCCTGTTATACTAGCAGATGCTCAATAATGTGGGACCACACATCATACTCAAAAACACCATTGTGCAAGCAATGATTTCTTGTAAAGCATCACTTCTCCCCACCTGTCCCATAGCAATGCTTGCATTGCAGAAGGAGCACAATCCTGCATTTTGAGGCTAGCAAAACTTTCTGAAGAACAGAAGATCAGAACACTGACTTCAGATATTTATAGTACCTGACATACATGTTTTTAAAATCCGAATCTTTTTGCAAAAACACTCATAATTTGCTGAGTGCATCATGTATATAATCCTGCTCTCAGTAGGCTTTCTGCCCCAGTAATGCCTTCAGTAGTTTTATGTTGCCCTAAGCAGCTATTCACGAGATTTCTCTATAGTTACTGCACTGCTGCTGTTTGAAATGTATTTTATTTTCTTTATAAAATAATGGGTAATCTTTAAAATTGATTTCTGATGGTTTGAGGCATTGCACTGCAAAAGTAATGAGCACTAATGTCAATGATATTGGACAGAAATTCATTTTAGCTTTATTTCACGTCCACTGCAATTTTGTTAAGCCTTGAACCACTGAAGCACTGTTATTAACTTGCTAGTAACCTAACATATGGGGAATAGCAAACAAAAGTGATAAGAGTACAGGTTGATCAGCACCTCAAGGCTACCATCTTCTCCTTCCCCCTTCTACGACTATAATTCAATTTCCAATTTTACATTACAGTGGATTCATTATTGTACAGTTATTTTCTATTCTGCTTAATAGTGCCATCTGGAGGTTAAAACACAGAAACAGAGACAGCAGACGTAATAAATTAGAAAAATGCACCTTAAACAACATGTACAACTACCTAGAACCACAAACATGTCAGCATGTGCTAACCTGTGAACAGAAGTACAGATACTGTTCACATAACATGCCCTATTATGTCTTGTCTTATTAAATCAACCCTATCAAGCAGGGATACACAGAGTGCTCCAGATGTTGCTGGACTCTTAACTCCCAGCAACTGCCTATGCTGGCTAGTCTTGATGTGAACTGCAGTTTGATGACACTTGGAGTACTGCACTTTGCTCACCCAGTTTTAATATCTGCCCCTTTGCATTAATAGGATTTGTTACTTAAAAGGTACTATTAAAATATGGAATTTTATTCTACATCTTCTACTTTGCATCTAAGGAGAGCCCAGATTTTGTTTCACTGGTGAGGACTATGGGCTGATCAGTCTGCAAACTGTGGTTTAAGAAACCAGTAAAGAAACGCCAAAACTGAGTCCAGAATAGTTCCTCCTGGGCTGTTAAGCCATTACTCACCCATTCCCCTAAACAAGGAAAAAGCAACAAGGAACACAACAAGCCATGCAGTGAGTTACTTCAGACAAGCAACAATCATGCATTTACTGTGTGAACAATAGAATTATTAATGGGAATTCCCAGGCTGTGACATATGTATGTTTACTGGCCACTGGGTTTGCCAGCAGCATGGTTGGAGTTAGTCCATGTGGCCAGCAACGTCCATTCCCATGTGCTATTTAGCCATTTAAAAATCACTTTCTCCTTGGGAGCTAAAGGAGTAATCAATGATCCAAATGGCCATGAAACTGTGGAGGCAAGAACTTGAAGAAAAGAGAAGTCAAGAAGATAATGGAACTTGGAGAAACCCCTCACACTGAAAACTAAGGAGTCAAGAGGGGCAGAAAACTAAAGCAAGATTGGGTGGAGAATCTTGAGGGAGTGAAGAATCCAAAGACTCAGAGTCAGAAGAAGGACCAGATGAAGAAGATGTGAATGTTTTAGGGGAGAGGTTGATTCGTCAATGCTTAGAAAGCTTGTCACCACGTTTCTCCGATACCAGAGGAATGTCTGGTTTCCTCTTCTGAGGCTTTGCAGCACGTACCGTATCAGGCGATGGCCCCTTGTAACTTGTCATAGCCTGTACTGAGGGAGCTCGGTCCCAAGATGGAGTGGATACCGAATATTTGGAGGACTTAAGACTTCTTCGGTACCGGTTGGGTTGAGGAAGCACTTGCTTGCCTCTTGTGGTGCCCAGTACGGGGCTTTGATAGCTGCCATCTGAGGGTTCCCCATGATAGTCAGGCCAGTACGGAGAAGATGAGGACGAAGATGAATCAGATAGGTAGAAATATGCATATTGCATTTGAGGATTGATGAAATGTTCTATGCCTCGATACCAGTATCGATGATGATGGTGTTATGGATTTGATGGTAGATCGAAGAATTCCGGAGGCTTGTAAAGGGTGACATGTTTGGGCCGATGACTGCAAGCCTTTGAGCCTGATGATACCCGCAGTCCCAAATGACGCGGAGGCTGGTAAGTAATGGTATCAGAGCGGCCAATACGATCAGTATAGTGGAGTTTCGCTTTCTTCTTTTTGATGGTAACTGGATCTGTGACAGGCAGTGATCCAGACTTGCACCCCGATAGTGAGCCAACGAAAGACTTGGGGCTCGAACAGGCCAAATATTGTAACACAG